TCGAAGGTTCCCGAATCATATGACAACCAAGGCAGTTAGATGGACGAGCTTCACTGAGGTGAGGCGGTGTACACGTAGTTGCGGCAAGCTTTCTCATTAGGCCAGTGACAACCGTTGAGATTCTTTGCCTGCGACGCTAGGCACGTACGCCTGGGCTTTGTCTGCCCGTAGGCAATCAACGAAGGACGTATCGTCAATTGGCCTCGAGCTCACGCCACGCTGGTGTCGGGTCTAATGTGGCTCAACCGTCCATTGGCAGGGGGCGTAGGAGAACTGAAGGCGGCGACCACGAGGGAGCGTACTACCACAACGTCATTGATCCTTTGGCATACGCACTGTGTAGGGCAGTTTCATGGGTCGGGTACATTGTTGGGCCTTTCATGCTGATGCACTTGCACTTCCTCAAAACGCATCGATGGAATTCGTGCATACTTCTGCATCGCCTCCTACCTTCTGGCACTCAGTTTTCAATGATGGCTGCACAAGGACATGCTTTACACAGTGGTAACCGTCCTTGTACTTCCTTATACTTGATAGGGCTGCTATCAAGTCTGATCCAGCCGGCCTCGATGATGTCACGAACTGTACCTCTCCACGCGTGACGATCCGCGTCAGCAGATCTGGACGGCTCAACCCATCCCCTTCGCCAACGACTGAAACCGAATACCGTAGGTCCAAGAACCATCTCCGTGTCGTGACGAACTGTGTTGAATCAGGTTTTGAACTGACCCCTTCTTCGACGCTTCCAATGGGACAACTGTGCCGGATCGAGGATGGTCCTCAAGCAGTGGTGGTCAAATACGCCCAGTTTTCTCTCGTCCTCCACGCGCAAAGCCCAGCATTCACAACCGTAGAGAAGGACGGATTGGACAGATGCACGGTACACGCGAATTTTAGTGGCGATGGAGAGTTCACGTCAGATCCATAGCCATTTTAGAAGGCTTGAGAAAACCCGGCGGGCAGCATCAGTTCGGGAGATAATGTCGTCCTTACTCTGTCCATTAGGCAGCAGCCTCGTCCCGAGGTAATTAAAACTGTCTACTTCAAGTCGACAGCCATTAATCCCTAGGGGTGCTTTCTCCTGGTCAGGGATGCAGCTTGAAAACGCTTTGGTCTTCCCAGCGTTTATGGATAAACCAACCGATTTAGCGACCTCGTCCACCCGTGACACCATAGACTGCAGATCGCCAAAACTTGAAGCAAGTAAGGCGATATCATCGGCATAGTCAAGATCAGTCAGTCGGTGTCCGGGTGCAAACTCAACACCTCATGAAAAAATAACCGTCCCTGACTGTAAGACCAAACCAGATCAGGTGACATGCAACTCCCTAGGCGGCCCAGGCTACTTGGAAGTTTCATCCGATCACAGTAGCCATGAGTCAGTGGAATTCGACAGTCATTTGGGATGTTCGAGGGCACACTGCCTACCACCCTTTTCCCTCCGACGAAATAAGGGGTTGTGGAAAAATTTCTCGAAACAAATAATGTTTCCCGCCATTTCCACAGATGGTTGTAGTTATTGTCGAAAAATGACGAACTGCAACAATCCCTATAACCATGTCTTCTTGTCGAAGTCCTTTTATTCCAATCAGCAGGAAGACATTACAAAGACTTGGCTTTTGGGAGAAATATACGTTTTCCATATTATTGCTTCGCCAATGTAAGTCTAACTGCGAAAGAGTAGCGACATCCCAAGCGTAGACTGACGGGGGACCTTTACGGCAACGTCACTACGGGTGTCCGCAGGTAAGGGATGCAAAACTGACGATGCAAGAATACCTCGGAGACCTCATTTGGGCGTCTGCAAACCAGTCGAAGCCGGGGAGGCCCTCGTGTAGGATCCGCATACTTGTTATACCGTCGTAAAAAGTGGGTCAGTAATGGTCTCAGACAATGCGAGGCGTCGATCCCGCATGACGGCATATTACAAACCCGCGCCGATAACCCCTATCCATCCCGGCAACTTCGCGCTGACGGCGGGTTTCAGGATCCGGATGGAGCTTGCAGCACACTTTCGGATTTACTGTGGCTTTAATATGATCACTTCAACTCCGCACCACAATGCACCACTGCCAAAATCGAAGCTGCGCTTCCCATCTGTCCGCGACGTAATTGCGTTACTGCCCCAGTTGATCCTGGTTGGATGTTATACCCACCACGATAGAAATACTGTCGAAAGTAGTGTGGTCGACAAGACAAAGATTCCCAATCAAAAGTCAGGGAAGACGGATTGAGTTGGACAGCCTTTACTGTTTTTGGAAGCACGTACACAAAGACTCTGTAGGCAGTCGCCGTGAGCGCGCTCTCCAGGCAACTTGTTGTCTGTGCCCTCCTTCGAGGTTCTGAGACCCAGCGCGTGCGTGCGCCTTTCGTTGTCTCCGCGTCCGCCAGCCAATCAGAGGGGGCACAGCGTTGATTGGCCCGGAGCACTCGCCAGGCAAGTGACAAGCCTCGCGCGTCCCAGCAGCGTATCGACAAGGAGCGTGAGGCGGACAGTAAGACAGCGTGGCAAAGGAGGAGGACAAGGAGACACAAACTGCCACAATACCTTTAGACCAGGGAAGGAATTTATGAGCAATATATATCTTCGACGCCAATAGTGCCCAGGAACACTAGGTCATTGCATCAGCTTATACCAGTATGACCGTCGCGAACGTCAATGTTCACCGTGTCGCCCACGGTATGTTGGGCGAAGGGACGGTGACTTATATGTGAATAAGGTTATAGTGATAACACATTTGCTCAGCAGTTGTGATGGCATGCACAGATGCTGCGGAGCCCGACTAATGCGTGTTGTGCCCCGGTCTGGTCCCTGTGTTGGTCCAGTGCATCCATCGCGCGGCCTGTTGTAGGACCTAGCATCAGTTTATGGTAGATCGATCGTCGATCTTGACGTTGTCCACCGTGTTTTCCACAGCATGCTGACAGCTGGGATGGCGACTTGCGCGTGAATCCCTTTATAATGATAGTTGACCTGCGCAACATCTACGGCGCCATCTCCTCCTCCTCTCCCAGAAAAATAGACTGCTCAACCCGCGCACATCTCCGGTCGTCTTGAAATTATTTCCTCATCGGGGCGGACCCCCTAATCTACGAAATTTCATTCGCAAGATTTGACTGCATTTTTCACTCAGTGTTTCTCTATAGATTCTTCATTTTCTCCCCCAAAGTATTTGAAATAAGATGGCCATATTAAGGCGACCAAGGTTTTCTTGGTAGTACTTGTAGGTTGCAAATCAGATCAAATAATTTTCGGCCAATGAAACCGCCTTTTGGAGCAATACTGAGTGATGAAGAGGTTTTCATACAGCAGAGAAAACGGGTAGTTTGGAATTATTGATAATCTGGGGAGAGACATACTCAAAATTGAAATACCAGTTTAAATGAAGAAGAAATTCGTCAAAAAACATTTGCCGGTAGAAATTAGGGGCTAGTTTTTAGGAAAGATGGCTGGTTCAGTGAAATCACCAAAGAACGATCGAAAGGGGTGCTACCTAAGTTGGGAAATTTTTCGAAGATATATTATCACTGATGGCTGTGGGAACCTTCAACTATCTATTCTCCTTACCGTACTCGTGGCTCTTCTGATCCCGCCCACTGGTGGTAGTGAGGGTGGATGCAAAAATGGGGACAGAAAAGGCTCAACTGCTATTGAGAACAAAACGAACTACAATAAAAAGATGCTGATATTGTTAGAAGATAGTTAAACATACGACAGCTCACCTATCGTGGCCGACGATGTCCACCGTGAGCTCCACAGCATGGTGAAGCAGGGGCGGTGACTTGTGCGTAAATTAGTTCATAGTGAATGTAGACGCGAAAAAGGAGACACGATCGCTGGAACAAGAGCTTGATTTGTCTGACGTTTCGGACTCTCACTCTAATCCATCATCAGGGACAGAGTCAGATAAGGGTGGTAAAAAGGCCAGGTGTTGCAGCATTTATAGGATGCAGTTGCTAGGCCGCTACATGCCTATCGCAGTTGGCAGCTCCCGAGTGCATCACGGCTCGACTGGCCAGGTGTTAAAGTATGCAGTTGCTATGCCCTTGTGTGACGGTCACGATTATCGATTCCCACGCTCATCGCACTCAGTCGGGTTGCTGACGGCCGGATTTCGTCATCCGCGTGGACTCTTGGGCAATTTAGCACACCGATATTGGCACCAGGAACAGCGGTCATCCGCACGCTGTCCTCGCGTCTAACTACGTTACCTAAACAAAGTCTCGGCGCCGAATATGGAGAGGGGAGGTCGTTGCGTTTGTTGATTGATTGAGGACCGGAAAACCATGACTCGAGCAATTTGTGGCTCACGCTGTTGTCACCTCTGGCAAGAACTTCTGCTTCGTCGAACTTGAATGTGTGGTTGGGTCCCGTCGAGTGAGCCGCGACTTGGGAGCTGACGTCTTTCCACCTCACTGCTGCTGAGTGCTCGGTCGTCCGCGTCCGCAGTAGTCTTTCAATCTTTTTCGACACAGTTGCCTTTCCCACAGCTACACCACACACGGTAAACAACTCCAGATGTTTCTTGCCGTGGAAATGTGTCTTTCGGCCTCATGATCTGGAGCCTTATGGTTGCTTCCGGTCTGTGTGCTACTCCAATTCCAAATGGTGTGAAGTGGCTGACAGCTTCTGAGACACTCTCCAGATACGGGAGAGCTTGCCAAAATTTGGGGCTGGTTAGATTTCGTCTCCTTTCTCGTTTGCACAGGCACTGGTTGAGGAAGTTGAGCGGGTGGCCATTGGCTTTGAATACCCGTTGAAGGTGTTGCAGTTCGGTAATCTTATCTCCCGGTTCACTGCAGTGTGTCTCTGCGGGCTGTTATGGTGTCCTTACGCAACTGCGTTTGTGACTAATTGAGTGACTGCTATTGTAGCTCAGTACTTGTGTCGTGTTTGTCGCCTTCGTGAATACTTCGGTTTTTAGGACACCATAATCTTTGCGGCAGATGAGGACATCAAGAATGGCCAGCTGGTTGTTTTCCTCTTCCTCCATCGTTAATCAAATGTCCGGGAAGATGTCGTTAAGATTTTCTTTGAATTCCATCACCCGATCCCGTTCGAAGAGGACGAAGTTATCATTTACATACCAAGCCCTGAATTTCGGTCTGTTGGGTCGGCAAACCAGCGACTTCAACCGTTGTAGGACCGCCTCGGCTACGAGTCCTGAAATCGGCGAACCCATTGGCGTGCCCCTCACCTGCTCGTAGATTGTTCTGTCGAACATAAAGTACGTCTTGAGACAGAACTTCAGGAGTTGGATGATGCGGGCTTGTGTGAGACGATTCTCCGTTTCATCGTATTTGCCTCGCAGGAGTAGTGCGATGGACTCGACTGCCAGGTCCTGTGGAATAGAAGTAAAGAGGGACGTGACATCAAAGGATACCATGACGTCGCTCGGCAGGAGGCTTACCTCTTTAAGTTTCTTCAAGTTTTGGCATGTAGCGGCCTAGCAACTACATCCTATAAATACTGCAACACCTAGGCAATTAACCACCCTTATCTGACCCTGTCTTTGATGATGGATTCGATTGAAAATCCGAAATGTCAGGCTAACAAAGCCCTTGTTCCGGCAATCGTGTCTCCTTTTTCGTGACTACTTCCTGGAACTCGCCTCTTCGTTTATATTAGTGAATGCACACTTGCAAAGCGCCTACCGCACTCTCTCCTGCTCCCCCATCTGGGCCCGGTGGCAAGAAGACCGGAGGGGGGGGGGAGGGCACAGGTGGATTGCACGGTTGAGCCCGCACCTTGGCGCTCTTATCCAAACCCCCTGGTCCACACAAGAAATGACCGGGATTTTGACCAACAACATCAATGAGGAGGGCCGCAGGGGTCCCAATGTGCTCGACGTCCGCCGGCAACTGGGCCTGCCACCGCACTCCCCCCGTATTGGCCCAGCGCATCTACCATGTGGTCCGTTTGGGGCGCAATTACTGTGAAATACTGCAGGAACAGACACCCCACCAGTCTGATGATGGAAACGAGGATGTTTCCGAAATGTCAGCGCCAATGCAGTGTAGTCCATGCAATCGCCCCTCTTTCTTCTTCGTCTTATTTTTGGGGATGGTCAACAGGATAGTGAAGTACAGTATACAAACAAACCTTACATACAAACACTTTTCCACGGACCCTACTGAGGCTCAGATGTCATCTTTTGACAAAGCGCTGAAGCGCCTTACAGGAATGAAACAATTGTCAGGGGATACTGCCAAATTTCTGAGACAAACTGGACCTACCATTGTTAAGATCTATGAACTGCCTAAAATTTACAAAACCGAAGTCCCTCTGAGACCTGTAGTATCATGAATCAGCACACCCAATTCCAAAAGTTCTAAGTGGCTATTCCATCAACTCCACCCACTGACGGGGATTTGTGAAATGTTTATTGAGAATTCTCAAGAATTGCTAAAGAAACTGCAGGGAATTATCGTTTCGCTGATGAGATGTGGTCTCTTTGTTGACATCCATACCGCTCGATGTAGGAGGGTGTTGCGCAGAAGAAGTCCAACTCTACGAATGTTCCCGCAACTGCCTTACTCGAACTCATAAACCTATGGCTCCATGCCAAATTTTCATTCAACCACCAATACTATCGGCAGGTTAAAGGAACTCCTATGGTGCCAGCGCTATTTGACATTCTTGCCGATGTAACAATGCAGAAATTCGAAGCAACGGCTGTTCCGCTAGTTAACCCTAAATGGAGGTTGCGATATGAAGATGATATGTTTGTTGTCGGGGAAAAGCATTGGCTGGAAACATTCTACAAGGCCATCAACTCAACAATTCTCAATTCCTGCTTGAGGAAGAAGTTAACGACAACCTCTCATTTCTAGATGTTCTCACACAGCAAAAGCCTGACGGAACGTCTAGCACATCCGTTTGCCTCAAAGAAAGTTGTGCGGAAGTCATCTTGCGCTTTGAGAGCAACCACCAATTCGACCGTCGCTGCCAACGATGTCCACCAGGTTATCCGCAGAAGGGTGAGAGCAGGGACTGTGGCTTGCATGTGAATTAGTTTAAAGTGATAGTGGACTTGCACAGCATCTACCGCATTCCTTCCTCCTCCCCCACATGGGTCCGATGTCAAGATATAGTCAAGAAGACAGGAGGCGGGAGAGGACAGAGGTGGCTGACACCTAGGCGTACCACTACGGCCTCTGGTCCACAATGGACACTGGCCAGAATTTTATACACTAAGAATAAATTAGGGCGACAGGTGTCCCGGAGGGCGTGGCAAGAGCCTGCACACGGTCGTGCTACCACATCCTTAATGTTCGTATTTATTATGGTTGCGCATTCCCAAGAACTCCGGTCTGTCCCTTGTGTTGGTCAAACACACCTATTGCGTGGTCTGCCTTAGCGGTGGGATGAGAACAACCACCCTATCTCCCACAGAAGTTATGCTGCAAATGGCCTGTCTACTCGAGCAAGAACACACTATTCGGACGAAGAAGGCTACCAGGTCTATCCGAATTATTTGGTCGAGTTAGTTTCTAAAAATGGGGTATCCTATGGTTTTTATACGTCGATGCATGAGGCAAGAGTCAGAAGGAAATAAACCAGGTACTTGCAGCAAAGCTCCCAAACCAAATACCTGGCGAAATCTTTCTTACGTTAAGAATGTGTCTACACTCTTGGAAATTCACCTGAGGAAAATCCAAATACGAGGGGCGCACTAACCGACGGCAAGTTTACGAATTCAGTCGATACACCCTGGGGACAGGATGGGCTATTTGGATAAGAAGGAAGTCGTTAACAAGATCCCATGCGGTGTCTGCGGTGCAGTTTATTGTGGAAAAGATAGAAAGTTCTCTTCTACACGCATTCACGAACATCAATTGGGTGTAAAGAGACGAAACCACATATCCCAAGTGGTCATGCGCACACACCTTTGACCCAAGTGGACCTCGCACACACCTTCGTGGACCTTCGCACACCAAGTGGACCCCGCGCACACCTTCGTTCATGACAAAACTCACATGGTTGGTGTCTGACACTCTGAGAATGGCCGAGAGTTCTTCAGGTCATGAACTCAGACGAATCGTGCATCAACGGGTGGATCGAGTTAAACGTCGCTACGGAAGCCTCAGGCAGAGACAGAAGAGACGAGAGCCAATCGGAACAGGATGTGGCACACGTAGACCGCCTACCGGCGCAGAAGTCAAGCGAGTATCGACTTTTAAGTGCACTTAAAATTCTAACTGTTTTTCGCACATTTGCTCTGTTCTGAGTTTGACGACGACCTGGGGAACCGGTGTCGAAAATTTGCACAATAATGTCTCCTTTTCCAATTAAAATATTTGACTTCAAATTACATTTCTTGGGATACCTTCATCTGAATACATACGTGTGGCCTCCAGTCGATTTTTATCCCTGCCAACAGTCCAGATCTCAGTCCTATCGAAAATCCCTTCGCACTCATCAAAAGGCACTGGCACAAGGCGAATAATACACTTTCAATGCAACAAAAGCTTAACTTTTTGGTACGTAATCGCATTGAACAATTCACAATAGACAGCCTGGTCATCTCCATGTCTGGGAGACTTTCTGCCGTGATAAATGCAAAAGGACAGTCAACAAAGTACTGCTCCATTGTACTTATCATTATTCTTAATTAATTTCACCACTTCACGCGTCCCCCTTTCTTATTCACCCTTAGAGTTAGCCCTATCTAAGTGATTTGTAATCCAACCATTATCTGAGTTCCTAGTTTTCAGTAAAGATAAATTAATTTTACATTTGTGAAAATTGATTTGTAAACCTTATTATGTCTTCTTTTTAAGAACAGTCGTTTTCTCGGTGCCGTAAGACTTTGGGGAACGCAGTTTGGGTAGATTTTACGTGACAGAGATATTTTGTGCCAACTCATGACATTCCATGAGGTAGCACACCTACTGTAGATATAGGAATGCAATCGGCATAACACCGAACCCCAGCTGCTAAAGCGATTACCCCGTTGCACATATACAAAATTGCTTTTATTCTATTTGAAAAGTCCGTTATTTCTTGCAATCCCTTGACGACGTAGTATATGAGGCCTAGTATCCACGCAACCACTCTGTGTGAACGTGGGACCCCCGAACATTTGTCGGCCAGTGCATCCGCACTCATCCATGCACGACCGAACGTAGAAGCTACCTAAAGTTGCGGCATTTCAACCCATTTTAAAACTTTCCGAGGCCTCGAAATGTGTTGTCGATATCGTCCGCTGAACAGAAATTTTGGTGTACCAGAGTTCGTGTGGATTAAATGTCTGAGCAGCGATCACAACTTAGCCCGAATTGCTCACCTTCTCCCCCCCCCCCCACCTCAGCTCCACCGTCCTCAACACACTGACTCCGTTATGTAGGCGGTATGGGGACAAGTGATAAGACTATCCCTGCCCCCGGAGACACATTTAACTCTTGTCAATAACCCACAAATCCAGTATCCATGCAATTGTATTGGCTTGACGATGAATTACCAAAAACATATGTTTGCCAACTGATGTTTAAAGTTGGGATCGTTTACCAGATTACCTGGGCAGATGTCACTATGATCACATAGGGCGAACCCTCAGTGTAGTGGACTCACAAATAATGAATTGCAAATTGACAACACTCAGAGGTGACCCGCTGGCTCAAGTGAGTGGAAATATCGTCTACGTATTGGTCACGAGTTCAATTTTATAAGCACATGATAAATGGCGAGGGTGGGCTGTCGCGGCAGCTTAAGTCATGGGCAGACTTCCCGGCCCGGTTCCAAGTAGAACGAGGAGAAGTTAAACATTGAATTTTCTACAAAATAAATAAAGAATAGGTTAGAGCAAGGTAACGGCCGAAGGAGGCCACACGTCCGGCACCGCCAGAGCAGGCGTCAGGTTGCCACAGCAGCTGGCATCAGGGGGCCCTGAGTGGGCCTCGAAGTTGACTGACCGGTTGAGATGGCTATGATTGGCCGAGAAACCGGCTACAACTGAATGAGCGCGTGAAAGTACGCGCGAGAGACGTAGTGTTTCAGCAGGCACGCGGATTAGAATCGCCAAAGGGCATCAAAGCAGTTCGAGCGCTACACACCAGGCATCAGCCTGCATGGCCACGCCTCGTTGCCGTTTGGTTTTTAAAGTTCCTTCGGTACCTGAATCATTTTTTGCTGGATAATAGAAATGCACATAAAGCGGTGCTTAAGACTTCTCAATATCACCTCATGTTGCAGGAGAAATTCGATCAGACAATAGAAACGCCCAGTTGGCGACCTGAACCTCGAGTTATTAGGACCACGTGCAACAAAAGTCCTCGTTACGCCGCATATGCCGGGAAAGTCTCCTCCTCCCCCTTCTCCTCCTCCTCCTCCAACTAGGCCTGCGCGCATATCACCTTTTCCCCAGCTACACATGTTGCGCGATGTTTACTGGTTATTCCACTACATTTTATAGCCGAGTTCAATATATTTTCGAAGGTTCAGTCCCAAAATACAGTAGTTTCGTCTTTTGATCTGCTTCGACTTTCTTCTCAAATGCAAATACAATAAAGTTAACCTAGACTTTTTTTCATAAACGTGGTACTAGGTTTAATTAAATATACCAGTCTGGAGACCCTTTATGGATATGAAAAGTACTTTGTCGTCTCGTGAGCTGCAAATCTTAAAATTCAGCTAACTGTATCAAAGATGAAATGCCAACACCTAATTCACTATCTGCGGCAGACCATTTCAAAGGATTTTCTCTAAGTCAACGCATTAATTTCTGGTGACATTAAAATGTTGAGACCCTTTTGTGTTCGTCTGGATTTGTTTAAAACACAGCATTGCATCTTTCTCCTCAGGCTTCGCGAGTGTGAACAGTTTCGAATGTAGAAAAAATTTCCTAAGCAGACTTGCGAAAGTATGAAATTGAATGGAGGCTTTGGTTTCTTATTTCTCCAGC